CTACAGAATTAAAATTCTGGTCCCCTGTGTCCAAAGGCTATTGGTTTAAACATACAGCATCCTCGTGATATTGGTATTTCCAATTTTAAGGATAAGCATTTGATAACAGATGATATTCAGACATTCCAAGTTATATATGAAGCCGAAACAAAATCAAATACCATCCTTCTATTCTTAGGTACAGATTATTTTATTGTATAAAAGTATTACAGATCAATCTGTTGTAAAAAAAATCAATGCTGTATTAGCAAAAGTGTAATTCCAAGTTTTTTTAAAAACCTGATCAATTCCAAGCAGAAATAAGCCACGATGCTACCAAAGTTATTTTCAAAAAATGCTAAGGCATTAAATGTGTTTTTCCTATAGGGAATTTAGAAAAATTAAAATTTCTCAGTGAATTAGCTTCATCTTTTTTTCTTATATAATAATTACAACCATATTTTTATATAATAGGCCATGAGATGATAGGTAAACATATTTTCATGAAGATTTTTTTCTTATCAAATAAAATTATATTTCTGCTAGAAACTTTCATTATAGTGATTTTTAAGTGAACAATCCAACCAACTGTCAGAAGCAATTACAGATTCCTTTCAAGTGACTGTTAAGTCCTAACCTTTATTTCCCCCAGGAAAATAGCATTAAAAGCCATTATTACATTATTTGCTACAGAAACCTGGATTATCATTTTAAAAACATACACTTGTACTTGCGCATCCAGCACAGGAGAATCTTCTATCCAGCAATGAGTGATTCCATGTGTAAATACCATGGTTTTGCAACTTGACTCCAGACCAGGGCCCCGATCCTCACAGATTAGCTTTCTCCACTGCAGCCAAGGAAGACTCATGCTTTGTAAAGCCCTTGTATTTTAAAAGAACAAGACCAGTAGATTAATTAACTCATTCCAGAGCAGCAACCTGGTATTTATCTTAGATTTAATTTCCTCTCAAATGAAAATAATAACAATTCAGAATGGATTCACTTTAAACTATCTTATGTTGTCCAGAACTAAAATGAAGAGTATGTGTTTTGCAGGTGAGTTCTTTACATCTCAAATGAGTTTTCGAATAGCCGCTTAAGAAACCTAATAGTTGTCCCTGAGAAGAATCATCCTAAGAGGAAATCAAACTATGCCAAGTCTAATCCAGGACACACATGCTCTGCCCCAGCCAGGCTGCTCTGGGCTCACCTTAGATTTCTTGGCGTTGTACTTATCCAAAAAAACCTGGACGCGGGCCCCATACTCAGGATGGACATCACTGAAGTTCTTGACCTGAAAATAGATATAAACGTTACCCTAGCCCCACTGGGCCAGTCCCAGCATCTGTTTCAGTGTTTACTCGAGAAAAGGAAAGACGCTTCCTCGGGAAGTAGAACCACACAGTGACTAACAACAAAGAGTAAGACTGGGGATGAAAGCTCTGACATATCCTGAATGACCCTGGATAATTCATTCATCTGAGCATGTCCACCTCCCATAGAATGAATAAGATCATTTCACCTGTCTCATAGAATATCATGAGAAAAACACTTATGAGGCAAGCTGCATTGACTACGCATAAAGAGCTGACCTCAGAGTAACTCAATATTTGTGCACACACATTCACGGAAGGTAGTTATGGACATAGAACTCTGCCTACAAAAAAGTGCTTAGCCTGCTGGTACTTGTCTTCAGGCCTTCGAACTCATCCCAGACAGCAGCTAGCCCACCTGTCCCTATGTACACAGAAGCAGCAACCAAGAGACAATGAAATCGTGATGTTTCCTAAATTTACAAGACGCTTACCCCTGTGGCAGATCAGAAAACTTCATACGACACAATGAGCTGCCATCAGAAATATCATGGCACCTTAGCTCAAAAGTTTGGCCTGACTTTTGAAAGCAGCCCAGTTCTGACCCCTGGAAATGTGCAAGTTTTAGTTGTTTCTGAAGGACAGTCAAGTGTCGTGACATCAAGTGGTTAGACAGGAAGATCACAAAAATGTAATTTGTATTTTTTAGTATCTAAAGCCCACGCTAAACTGTGACAAGACCTACATTTTGATACTGAACATCACTCTCTTGCACACAACATGGCCACGGTCTAATTAAACAGCAGAGGAGAGAATTCGCCCTGAACTCAACTAAATTATTACGCATTGAACAAAGAGCTAAGGATCAATGGACATACCATGCGCACTGCAGAGAAAATAATCAGAGGTCGATTGGGGGTTAGTTTTAATTGTCTTAAGTCTACTTAGCAGTAAAATAGAAATGACACTTCCTTTGAAGGGTTCTCTCACACAGCTGCATTCTCTTCTCTAGCCAGCAGAGGTCACCCTTTGATTTCCAAAATATCACTCACTGCTTTCTTCTGGATGAAAAGCTGTGCATCTTTCAGATGGTGGGCAATGTTACTACACAGGCGTTTCCTCTGCTCTTCATTCAGTGTCTTCATGTAGAAGGTCCGCACCTGCTCGTTGAAAATACACGGAGTGTGAAAAATCAAGTATCCACTTTATCACAAACAAAACTCACCCAATATGCCACTTTTGAAATGAAAAAGTGAGACTTCTCATTTGCATAAGAGTGAGAAAAGTTTTTAGAATTTAAGAATAATTTAAATTATAGTTGAAATTGTCATTTGTGTTGAGTTCCTCACTTTTTGTTTTGTTTTAAATTCAGTCGTTGATAGTAGCTAATAACTGCTATTTAATAATGTCCTTTGTAGTCACTGCTAATAAATCTCCTATAAATATAAAGCAGTAAGTACGGCCTACAGTTTAAAAATCCCACCACACTCTTAATACCGACAAGTTCGGAATGTGCAAACTATCATCAATTGTAAACTTAGCAAAACACAACCACTGTTCAATTCACTCAGATTGACAGAGGGAAAAACCCCTAATTCATTAATATATAACCTTAGTTATTCAAAAGCCAGATTTCCTAGAGAAGATAGATGTTAATAGTGATATTTTCCATAGATTGGGTTTACCTCTAAAATGAAAATACTAGATTAAAATAAAAACAGGAGCCAAGTATCAAATATCAGTCCTAATAGTCTTTGCTCATTTCTGAAATCAATCATTTTTAGTTTATAATTTTATTCTAACAATTTTAATCATTCATTTAGTCAACAAATACTTATATGTCAAGTACCTATAATGTACCAGGTGCTGTTCAATGTACTGTTTTATTAATGTTTATAAAGTCCAAAACTATCCAATTATCCAAACTATCAAATTCATAAAATATTACTTTTCGTAAGTTATGAAATACACTATAATAACATTTTTCTTAACTTGAGCAAAGTTTAAATCTGATATGAAAAATTAAAAATCAGACTTTTGATATTAACACAATCCAATCAAAGTACTGTATTATGGGAATCTCTTAGACTATCTCCAATTCATTGATTCTCCATTCAGCTATAACAAACGTATTGTTTAAACACTCACTGAGTCACCGTATCCTTTGGATTTTTATTTCAAAGATTGCACTTTTTCGTTTCTAGAAGTTTCTATCTAGTTCTTTTTCAAATTTACCTGTTTTTGTTTTCTCACATTTTAATCTTGTCTTATATATAATATTCCTTCCTTCATCTTCTTGAATGTGGTATAATGCTTATTTTAAATCTCATTTTAGATTTTTCTATCATATGTATGATTCCTCCATCTATTGCATGTGCAGTTTCTCAGGGCATTGGATTGCCTTGTATGTAATTTTTCCATGTAACTCATCTTCAACAGAGGTTATCTTCTGCAGAAGTTCCAAATGTGTCTCAGTTATTAAGGTGTCTTCATGCGGTGACTTTCTGTCACCCATGCAGAGACCTAACGATGTTCACTGATTCACTTGTTTCTTAGTTCAGGACTTCCATAAGTTTCTAAGTGAGGCAAGAATACAGGGACCTCACCTGAGCATGACACAGGAAAGGGACCCCGCCTGGAGTTCACATGCTTCCAAGCTGCATCCTTAGTCTGGTGGGTAGTTTTTCCTATGAGATCCCAGTTCCCGACTGTCATCATTATGTCAAGAGCCCAGTTCTAGCTCTCTGCAACCCATGAAGCCTAAGTCCTCGACTCCTAGCTCCTTGGAGTCCTAAAATCACGATAAGATGTAAACAGGGTTTGGTTACCTCCATGAGATATATATACCCTCAATGTTCATGCACTGCTGTGATTCCTTTTTCATTTCTGGAACCTGGAGATGAATTTTCTTGTTTATTAGTTCAACTACATACTTTGTAATCTAATTTTTAATCTAACATGTCATGTGCGAGAAGCAGAAAAAAGGCTTCCTGTGTCACCTCAATTTAACATCTTAAACTAAAAGGAATTTGGACTTGCAATTCCAGTGGTATGCTGCAGCCAGCTTGCTCATGTGAGCAACTGTCAAATTTTTAGGAATTTTGTGAGTGACTTGTTAAACACAGTCATGATTAAAAATTAAATTTTATAAACTTGCAATTAAATTATATTACCAACAAAAGTAATAAACCCTCAAACCACGTCACCTCCTACTTAACACATATTATCTATATTCTTGAGGTTATTTGCATCTGCTTTATCTCTGTGGTGGGAATACTATATAACAGTGAGATAGTAAACATCGCTTCCCAATGCCAAAGGTTCAGTGACATCGGCTGGTAGCTTGAAATCAACTCTAGGGAATATTTTCATCATATGAGAGGGTTGTTTCTCATCCTCACAACACTTGGTATGATCAGTCTTTTTACTTCTAGCCATTCTGGTGCATATGTAATGGTATTGATTTGTGGTTTTATTTTGCATATCCTTGATAACTAGTGAGGTAAACTACCTTTCCATATGTTTTTCGGCTATCTGGATATCTTCTTTTGTGAAGTGCCTATTCAAATCTTTTGCCTACTTTTCTATTCATTTGTCTATCTTTTTCTTATTGTTCCGTAAGGGTTCTTTATATATTCTGCATGCGTCTTCTGTTAGATAAATTGCAAATCTATTCTCCTACTCTGTGGCTTGCCTTTTTAATTTCTAAATAGTGTCCCATAATGAAAAGGTTTTTTTTTCTCTTCATGAGCTACTCATGATAATAACTATTACTGTGTCAATTTACTAATTCTTTCTTCAGTTATGTTTAATCTCCTTTTAAGCCCATTTACTAAGCTCTTAATTTCAGTCGTTGCATTTTCAGTTCAGTATGTCCATCCAATTCTTTTTGCATAGATTAAATTCTCCATGTTTTTTCTTGAACATATTAATCGCAGTTGCTTTAAAACCTATATCTGACAATTCCATTACCCGGATCTCCAGTAGGTTTCTCTTGGTTTTCAGTCATGAGGTTGTATGGAATGAGTATGCCTGGTGTTATGTTATCGAATGTTGGACATGTGCAAATAAAAAAAAAAATGTAGAGATAATTTGAGGCTCTATTTTCCTCCAAAGAATTATGTCTGCTTCTCGCAGACAGACTAGAAAGTGATCACTTTAACCCAGTCTGAGGTTGAGCTGATGCAAAGCTGCACCTCGGTTTTTATGAAGGCCAGCTTTTTTCAGGTTTGCCCTTATTCCTAGGCGTGACCCTTCAGGGATTCCAAATGAAAGCCTGGAATGTTAACTAGAGGCCTCCTCCTTAGCAGGCCCTGAACGCCAATTTTTATCCCTCCAGACCCATCAAAATGCTGTAAAGTCTGCTCAGCATCTTGGCAGATGCTTACAAGGTAATAAACACCTCAGTGGGAAAGGACACCTAACGGCACACTCACATCTCTGCACTGCTTTTCTGTCCAAGATCTTGGCCCCTCAAATCCTTGTTGCTTTGTTAGCTCTCCAAAGCCTTAAAAACCTGATGCTTTCTGTGTTTTCACTAGCTTTTAAATGTTCTCCATGAGAGGATAGGTCTGATGCAAGCTAGTCTGCCATAAGCCAGAAGTGGAAGTCTAAGCAAATCAATTTTAAGACTATAAATCTGAGCCTTCTTTATTTCCCACAAGACTTGTATAGTTACAGAACTAAGCTATAAACCTATAAGCAGTATCATGACTTAAAAACATGAGTTCTATATAGTGATAAAAAAATCTCTCAATAAAATAAGAATGATTATCTAATAAATTTTAACGTGTAAGCAATAGCCTCATTATCTAAAATAATTTTTGCAGAGGTTATATTAGTATTTTAACACTGGACTAGACCTCATGTAGGTAAAATTCTTTGAGAGGCAGAAATTGTACTGTAATATACTTGGTATCCCCTGCATACCAAGAATAATGCAGTTACTATAAAAGGCTTTTCAGGAGGTGTTTAATTTCTAAGTATGCTTTATATCCTATGGCAAAGTAATTTCTTTTTTATGTATACATGTTTGTATACACCTAAGTGCCTTTCAAACAAAGATCTCTTCACAGTGAATTAATTCATGTATTTAAGTATATTTTACTTGGAACCCACATTTACAAAGTGAGAGACTAGAAATAGGTCCTATTCTCATTGAAATACTAAGTTGAACATCAACTACCCAAGCAGAGCTCTAGGAGAACTGTACTTTTTAACTTTATTCTTTTCTTGTGTGTGGTGTGAGCGGAGGTAGCTGCCCTTCGAAGTCCAAGGGCTTCTTTTATCGCATCTAGTAAAAGAACTGCCCTTAAGCAGCCAAAGGTCACTGGGAAGAGGGCGGGCACTTGCTCTGGGGCATTTTAACTACAGGTAACTATAGTTAACTACGGGCTCCACACAGGCCAGTGATGCAACGTAGAGTAGAAGGATGAGTCAAATCAATCTGATTTCTTCTCTCCAGAATCTGATATAGAAGTATTGAGAGAAGGAATAAAAGATGGTCCGGAAAAAAAAAGTAAAATATGGAGAAAGAAGCCAGAAAGAAGAGTTAGGCCATGGTCGTGCAAAGCCACGGCAATGTTAAAAGAGAAGCTACGAGGCAAAGAGGAGAAAACGAGGAGGACATGGCAACAGAGGCCACGGTAAGAATGGGAGGTCATGGTAAGGAGAAGCGAGTGGTACTGGAGAGCAGAAGCAGACAGACGATGAAGAGGAGCAGAGTCCTGAGAACGGCAAGCCCTATAGTAAAAACACCTACACTCCTAATTCTGAGGCTCCTAGAGCTATTCTGAATCCAGTTCTAGTCCCTAAATCTGGGCATTCTTGCCCAGATTCTTAGATTTGGCTGCACTTAGGCTTTATGTGCCCATTTCTTAGATTTCCATGAATCACTTCTTTCCCAGCGGCCCCCACCTTATCCCTTCGACAAAATTTAGGGGAGCTGAAATGAGTCATACCTTGTACTGCAAAAGCATCGTAACCCAACCGCTTGACTCCATCCAATAAAGGGACTGATTAATGAATTAGAGATGTCCTCCCTGAATTCAGTCACACCAAGAGTGGGGGAAGCAGCAGCCATTGAGACGTAGAATGATTAAGTGACTCCCGCAGCAGACAAAGAAGTCATTACCTGGGTGACGTTATCCTCATCGGCACTGTTGTAGCGCCGCACATCCCCGGAACATGGGGTGCTGGGTTCCAGGGCACGAATCTGTTGTTCTGGAGCACTAAAGCTATTGGGGTAGTAATTCGGAGCACCACCTTCAAAGGCAAACCACACAGATTCACTTAGAGAGATAAAACACAAAAAGAAGTTTGCAAACAACGTAATATGAAACAAATTCAATTATATATACGCATGTGTGTATACACACGTAGACGTATATATATATATATATATACACACACACACATACATATATACATGCCACGCACATGTTATTTTTAATGTACCATATTTACGTACAGGCAGTACTCGGATTCTTAGAGAATACTGCCATCTTCCAAATGCTCGCATGAGCTGACTCACTCTGAGTCTAAGAAAGAGATCTCGAATTCCCTTTCAGCACCTCAAATCTATGAAATCTTCTGATGCTTACCAGTACAAATAAATTTATACGGATTTGATTTGACCCCCATAGAAAATGAGACCCAAACACATTTCGACATCGAGGACTTCGTGTGGCCTTAGGCTCCATTTAGATTCTGAATCACAAAATTCTTGGGAGCGACAGAAAGTTCTAGCTCTGCTCCTTCAGTTTAGAGCCTGGAAATATTAACCGCTGCAAAGTCACGTGGCAATTAGTGGCAGATCTGGGATTAGGACTCCGGGTTTTTTTGGTCTCGTCCATTCCAGCACGTGCTCTATTCCCATTACACAACTCCACTTCCCCTTAAAAGTTTTTCAGATTCTCTGGGTATCTCTCCTTTATTGACTTACTTTATTCACGTCCAGCTTCACTTTTACTTCACTTTTACTTTTTATTTATTTACAAATAAATTTAAAAAGAAATTTTTAAAAATTTGATATTTCTAGTAGTATGTCAGCACTCATTTATCTAAACTTATAGGGAAAAAAAGCAACAAATACAATCAAAACATCTTTTATAATTTCTGGAAAAAATTCTGAAGCCTTTTTTCTTCCACTTTTGGCATATTTGTTTTCCTAACTATACTCTGCTTTGGCTGATATTAGTAGAAGCTTGATTTATCTGAACACACACTGCTTAAACAGAAGGAGTGGCCTAGACACATATTAAGTCACATATTAACCAGTCTAGGGTTGGAATTTTACCCAGCGCACTGCCAGAATAGATTATCCAGAGTACATAATCAAGAGGTGCCTATTTATCACATTTATCAAGGTACCAAGTGCATGTAGGAAGAAGGAGGACACCATACTATTATGGAGCCCAATTATTAGGCCAAGAAATTCATTCTAGGTCAGCCACGTCCATATGAAGAGCAAAGTGTTCCAATAACCAGCCACCACAGTGGTTTTCTGAATTAAAAATTAGCTCTCTGAAATGTGCCTATTTGAGTAATTTTTAAATTCTATTTTCAAATAAGCTCTAACCTTTACTCAAAGTGAGAGTTGTCTTCAAGTCATTGGCTACTGGAAACAATTTAGTTCTCTCATTGAACTTGAAGAGCACAGCCCAAAGGCTCTAATTCTAAAACAAGGCAAAGGGTGTGTTAAAATATATTCATAAGTAGTTTTTTCATATGTATGCCACTATAATGGCAAACACGAAGCAATTACTTATTAATGAATTCCAAAATATACATGAATCTCTCTGACACAGCCAGTCTCAATAACAAAAGGACCAAGGACTACGAATGAAAAAAAAAAAAAAAACACTTTAGAATAAAAATGCAGAAGATAGACACAGGAAGTATCAAGTACTTTGAGCAACAACATATCCTACACCTCTGTAAACCTCAGAGAGTAGAAATATTGCAGCTACCTAATATAATCAGTAAGCATGTAAACTTGTTAAATACATGGAAAAGACTTAGTGATAACGGTAACGAATGTAAGGCACAAAATTATGTATACAAAATAATCTTAAGTGTATAAAAACTATTCACAGAAAAGACTGGCAAGAAATACAGAAAAATGTTAACAGCTGTGGCCTTTGGGCATTGAGACTATTAAGTGGATTTTTCTTCTCCCTTCTCTTTTACAGTTTCCAAATTTGCTTTAGGGCAGATGCATTATTTTTATCATAGAAAAATTAACTTTGTTTGAATATAGACATCTAGGGTTATTAATATAACTGATTAGTAAAATTTCTGAAAGGATCGATATAAGCAGCCTATTACTATAAAACATATATACTAAATAGGAAAAAAAAAACAAAACAAAAAACTAAGCTATATATTAAACTGTGGAATATTTAAAGGAAAAAACATTGATTGAGCATTCTCTAATTAGAATAAGTAATTAGAAATAGAAGCTATTTGTACATGGTACCAAAAAAAAAGGAGTTAAAAGGAAAATAAAACACGTTAATTTGATAAATGTGCTCCAAAAACCAAAATGCAGTGGAGACTCATCAATTGACAAAAAAAGTGGGGGAGAATCCCTCGATTTGCTCTATCTCCCCTATTCTTAACAAAAAAAGTGGGGGAGAATCCCTCGATTTGCTCTATCTCCCCTATTCTAACCTAGCCCATCCAAATTCTAGCTAGGCTCGCTCCCCCACAGCCCTGACGGAAGTGCAGAGAAACAAGACATGAACTCTTGGCTTTTACACTTCCAAGATCCTAAGTCCTGGCAATTTAAGAATGATTTAAGGAATTGTCCACTTTGTGAAGAGTCTTTAAAACCTAACCCCTAAGTTGGATGCTACTCCACCATAGGCAGTGTGAAAGATCTTACTCCTAGCCTTTCATGATCAGAGGACAGCAAGTAAAATCAGAGGTGGGAACTCTCAATAAAACATAGAAAAATAGGTAAAAGCATGGAGAATCCTCAGGCAGTTTAAACCTTCATTACTGGGCAAAAAAATACACGGTTGTCAGCAGCATCCGTGGAGCACCTTCCCAGAGCAGAAAGTCCCTTGGGGCCAGACTGAGAACCACTGGCCTGTTTTCCCACCCTCTGGCCAGCAGCGCCCTCTGCCCTGAGCCAAATGTCTTAGGCCTACCCTGATTATCAAACATGCACATGAAGCTGTCACGCTGGTAGTTGGCCACTCGAGCACCGTAGGGACAGTTTACAGGTATTTGAAGATAGTTGGGTCCCAGGCGGTGGCGGTGAGTGTCAGGATAGGCAAAAAGGCGACCCTACAATCATAAACGAAACAGACAGTGACTGTGTGCAGGAACGAAAAGAAGCAAATTTCCACCAAATCAACTGTATAGGAAATTATACAAAAAAGCACTTCCCATGTTACAGTCTGATTTATGTCAGAGCACTTCGAGCTCTGTGACCTTGTAGAAATAAACCAAGTACTACACTAAGAAAGCCGTGGTTCAGAATGACCGCCCTATAGTGCCACAAGGTTCTGAATCAAAGATTAAACTAAGTTACATGTTTACCAAGGCAGAATGGTAAAGACATTTCTTTCAGTTAGTGCTGAAACAAAAAGCTTTATGATTAACTCCGTATTAATCTTAGGATCCAATTATTTAAATATTTTCATTATTTAAAGCTCTACTCTATGAGCAGTTTTCTTTCATTGATTGTATCATGGACCTGGAATCTGAAAGAGTATTCTTAGATCCCTAACTATGAGCCAAAATAAAAAAATCTAGTTGAATAGGGCAGCTTATCCGATATTTTGTACCAAATCACTCAAACCAACATACTTAATCTCGCCTCACAGTTCTGTCAGTAATTTGCTCTTGGCTGAGTGACTCTACATCTCGCAATCATTTCAGATAGTCTAGGGTAAGATTTAGATGACGGGTTGTGCCGCCATGACTGAGACGCACCTACAGTTTGAAGGCTGGTTGTCTCCTTTAGCTCAAAACAGACTAAGTTGTGCTCTACATTTACCAACAGGACAGAAGGTACTACTGAGCCATAAGCAGCTCCTGGATACAGCCACTATCATAAAATTCTGGTTTTGTGTCACCTTGTGTTTATAAAGCAACCTTACGCCACCTAATGGGTAGAGAGTCAAGGTTGGGAAATGGGCACAGCAAGGCCATACCCTGACATCAACTTGAATCTGGGCCTCACCCAAGGCCCTGTGCCTGAGCTCCTTGCTGGACCTGGGTGAGAGAGCAAAACAAAGCTCTCCCACCCAGTGGAGAAGGCCAACTTCTCCTCCACTTCCGGTAAACTGCAGAGCGTGGGAGTGAAGGTACTCAGGGGACAGTCTCTCGGTCACTGACATTATGTTATTTTGTCTTTTCGCCATGATCTGGCTTACCACTTTGGATAACAAAGTTTAAAATGGAGTCATGTGACCTTGTTGAAAGGTAACTGAGAACATTGTCCATTAGTACACAACTATCACCACCCCTGGATGCTCAGTGGAGTCATTTCAAAGTCCTCCTAGTTGGCTCTCCACTTCCAGTCCTTCCTCCAACAACATCACCCTACACATTCCTGCCAAAAGAATCTTCCTAACACCCCATGCAGATTATGTCACTTACCTATTTGGACTTTAAAAGATTTTTCCTGGGTCACCAAACGGCTAAATAGATATGACGGCCCTTTTCTGCATGTCCCCTAATGTGCTTCGTGGTATTAGAATTCACAGCTAAATGACCTCAGAAGTTTTTGGAAAAACTAGGCTAGGATCTAATATCCTGACTGAACCTAACAAAGCTCCTTCAAACACTTTTTAACTCAATGTAAAAAAAAAAATCTATAAAGACGGCATATGAAATTTAAAATGTTTGCCATAACTGAAATTAATACTGATAAAACTTACGTAATTCATTCATATAATTCAATTCATTAAATGAATTATACGATTTCCATTTATCATCTTTTTTCAGAACTCTCTTCCCGCAGTTATGAGATGCCTCAAACATTTGTTTTTTTTGCTGGTGTAGAGAACTGTATTTGCTACGTGGCCCTTTACCCGCGGTTTAGGCCTCCATCCAGAGCTTTAATGCTCTTCTCATTGTGCATCTATCTCAGTGTTGCTCACTGCCATCAGGTCTCCCTGTGACCCCAGAGACCCATGGTGACCTGGGTTCTTGTGAGAAGCCTTTGGGTGACCTTTTATTCCTGAACCTGTTCCCTCAATACCAGGGTTATGCAGTCTAATCTCTCCTTGAGATAATTTCGTGCAGTGGCAAATTCCATTAACCACTCCTTCACATGGTTCGGCTCCCTTCCAACCCCCGGTGGGGGAGGTTCGGGGTCCAGGGTCACCTTGGGTGACCTGTCTTAGCTCCCTCTGCTTCCCAGTTACCTTGTGAGCACTTCTGTTTCTCCCTGTCATCCACTTGACTTCCCCCCTCCGTTCTCAATTCCCAGTTCTCTCTTCTCCTGTTTATCACCAACCAGAATGCTTCTACCTGATATATACCGATCACATTTCTAAACAAAAAAAAACTTTTCTTTTCCTAGAAGGGACAATTGTACGAATTTCTAATCAAGCATTAAGGTCCCCTCCAACGTATGCCCAATGTACCCAATCTTATTTCTTCTACTTTAGGAAAAAGTGACTGTTTACAGTTTAAATCTACCTACTACCCTCTGCCTCTATACCCCATACTCATGTCCCTCTCCTGCCACATCTTACCTCTGTGGAAAATCAAAATCCTATCAATTCTTCAAGAGCCACTTCAAGTGCTACTTCTTTCTTGAGACTGTCACCATCCTCTTATCAGACAAGACTTCTGATTCACCACACCATTCTGACTTACATTATAGTTATCCTGTGTTTTTATATCTGTTATAGAGCCAGGGCACTCTATCACACACAGTAGATATGTGTTCAATTTATATTAGTTAAAGTGAACTAAAAACTAATAAAAAATGTATTTTATATAAAAGCCTCGGATGTTCCCACTGTCAAGGCAAAAAGTTATTATTAACTAAAAACAAAGGACTCTTAGCTGGCCTCCAAGAAATGACGCCTGGACTGGAACCAGATGCATACATAAGAAGCAGCCTTCGGTCACTGAAGTCTGACCCCAGATGTACTCTTTAACTTTTGTTTCACAGTCATAGTCCAAAAACATAATACCCAATAATTATTAAGCCAATTATTTACCAATTGACTTCTAGTCCAAAGAAGAATTTTCTACTCTTTGTACCCTTGAAAGAGCATATTGGAAAGTGATGAAAAAGTACTGAATGTCCAAAGACATTACCAAGACAAATGGTTAAACGAACCCACTGCCTTTAATCGCTGGCAATGTAAATTTAGTTTTTATGGATGGAAAAATTCAAATATCACCATGGAAGAGGAAATGAATAAATTCATGCTGACCAAGGTGTTATCATCAATTAACGACATTCACTCTCATCAGTTACAGGACTAACAGAGTGCTTTACTCTAAAAATACCTGGGGCGTTTATAATATAACTTCTTTTTAGAGACTAAATGTCAAAGTCAACATATTGAGGAACTTTACTACGAAATTTGGCTTATACTGTAATACCTATCTCAGAGTGTTTCAATCAGTCCCACAGGTACTAAGGATCCAGATTAACCAAAGTGTGTGTGTGTGTGTGTGTGTGTGTGTGTGTGTGTGTATGTGTGGTGTGTATGTTGTATGTGCACCCTTGCACGCATCCCTGCCCAGTACCTCTCAGTCCACCAGGTTTACCTGAAGCATTTTGTCAGGGCTGGGCTCAATGCCCGGCGGCATGTTGCTTGGGTCAAAGGCCAACTGTTCAACCTCAGCAAAGTAATTAACTGGATTCCGATTTAAGACCAGTTTACCAACTGGGATAAGAGGGTAGTCGCTGTGAGGCCAAACCTAAAAATAATGTCATATTCACAGTTACAAAACCACCAACTGAAAGAACTTAAAGGACCCACAAAAATGCTTGTTTTCGAATATAATGAAGCCAGTGATGATAAGTGAAAATAATAATGTTTAACCCAATAAAATGATAAAAACTTAAAGTGAGTGCATTTGCTGAATCTTTCACAACAGTAAACAGTCAACACCGACATTTGCCCTGGGCAAAATTTGTTCCCTGCTAATAATATACCAAGCCACCTAGATGAACATGATGAACTTATCGAACAGGAACCGGAAGTGAAATACTGGTGAGCATTCATTCACAGGCTGGGAAACTCTAAAGTGGTACCACTGCATTTTGTACATGATGAACGATGAATGCTGGACTGGAAATTTGTTAAAATTAGGTATGAAGAGACTTTAAAAAGAGAGCAATTTAGTTGTTAACTGACTCACCTTGGTAAGATCAAATGGATTAAATGGAAAAGTTTCTGCCTGACTAAACGTCATGACCTGGATGTAAAAAGTCCAGGATGGGTAGTTGCCTGTAGCAATGGCATTAAAAAGATCCCGGATGCCATAGTCAGGATCTTCCTGGCAAATTTTTGCTGCATCTTCATTAGAAAGGTTTTTGATGCCCTGGTCAGTCTACGGAATGAAAGAAAGAAGTTCAAGCTGAAACTTAATGGCAAAGTTATTGAACTTTACAGTAATTCACTGAAAGACAGACTGTAACACAATTCAAAGACTGGATTTTCCTTGTAACAATAATTTCACTGTTCAAATCTGACACAAATATGAGTTTATCAATAAGAAATTCAACTGGATGGCCCTGATTCTCTTAAATGTCTAGGAAATCTATCTATACAATTCATACTTAAAATAAGTCCTATCTTTTCATTTTTGTAGTCTATATTATTTGAATTTTTTAAATTGTTGACATATAGTTTATTTTCAATTTTTCCCCCATACAAAGCATGCTGCATTGCTGTCTTCAGACAAGCCAAAAAAAGTTTTGGCACAATATTTACCATTTTAATCATTTTAAAGTATCCAATTCAGTGGTTTTTTTTGAGTAGATATCTCAAAATAGAGTTGCTGGGGCACATGGTAATTCTGTATTTAATTTCTTGAGGAACTTCAAAACTGTTTTCCAGAGTAGCTATTATTTGAATATTTATACTCATGTTACTTTCCGAATCATAAAAAAAATCAAGACATATTTTTAAAATAAGAAAATAATTAATAAAATTAAAGGACTTTCTCTTTTTTTATGAAGTAATTTTTTTAATTCCCTGTTTTATAATAGCTCAACTCAATTACTGAGATTGTGCATCCCACCACCACCACATTCTTCCTTTTAAAAGAAATCATAGAATCATAATCCATAGAGCTGAAAAGAACTTCAATGCAGCTACTCTGAAACAGTTCTCTGACTACTCTTCAAACAAGCTATTAAGACCCAAAGAAGTTAAGTCACTGTCACAAGGGCTCCCATTACCATACCATGTTGCTCTTCAACAGAGTTCCCACCTGCACCTTTTTCTAACAGGATCCCCAACAAGCCAAGTCCCGTGGAAAGATTTCCTTAGCGTAAGTCACCTCTGGAAGGCTGGTCCATGACGGCCACAGAAAACCCAACTCTCTCTAACCGGTAGCAAGATGTGAACCATTCTGACTATTAGACCAGAAATAAAGCCACTTTCAGGATTAAAAAATGGAAATCATCTGCAGGTCACCCAGAGAGCTAATACATTAAATGGTACCATAATGTTGCAATAGCTTTCTGACATTAATTAAATCCCTTGGGTTTAGAAAAGAATAATCTCAGGCCAGAATAATCCAGACTGATGAATCCACATAGATCTCAGGCTACCTCCGGGCCTTCTGTTCAACAGATCCATAAACAATCCAATCTTTCTAGAACCATGACAGCTGGTATTATTATCCCAGTTTTACAGGGACAAACTGGAGCTCAGAGAACTCTTAATAATATACTCAAGTCATAGTTATCTAGAAGAGGGAAGATCTGAGTTCAGACTGGTCTCACTATAAAGCCACCAACCATACTAGCTGTCCCAGATACAATCATTTAGTCCTGCTCTAAGTAACACTGCTTCCTTTGGCAATTACAAGCCAATAGGCCAATTACAGGTCAGGATGTTCCTTGCCAAAGATTGTAGGTCCAAGTCATAAGCATAAAGAGGAGTGACAGTTGTCCTATTTGATATACCTACAAAAGTTGTTCAGATAAAGATTAAGACAGGACAGAAGAAAACAGGTCCTTGCGATGTCATTAAGAGAGAGACTGTTCTGTCGCGAGTCCACTTCTGTGTCTGCTTATTTTGGCCGTAGTATTTGGAAACAAGTTCTTAGGCTACCAGAGGTTTTCTAAAAACCTTCTAGAGTTCTCTGGGAATATTGTTTATTCTTAACAAATGCTAAGACCATACTAAGAGAGAGCCCTTTAAAACACTTCGGTTTATTAAAAGGTTCTCGAAAGTTTCACCGAAGGTAACTGATTTGCTCTGAATGTATGAAAGCAAATTTTAAAAACAGAATTTTTGTTTTCTGACATTTGTAATTGATTTTACTTATTTGCCTTGTTTATGATATACCTTTAATAAATGTTAAATAATGGAAGAATGAATTAAAACATTAGGAGAAATGAAAGTAATGATGAAATAGGTATTACTGACAGAATGGCCCAATTCTACCTTAGTCCCATCCTGGACCCCAAAAGATAGCTACGCTCAGAACAATGACTCAGGGCTGGGAAAGGTAGAGCATAAAACTTTACTGTTTGCTAATGCTTGACTTCAAATGCCAACAATAACAACAAAATCCTAGAAAGCTAGGCTAACTCAGGTAGAAATCTCCTTTGGCCTAGCCTGGAGGCCTGTTATTATCTTCCTACATTTGAGCCCAAATCAAAACCTTAGGTCTTCCCTCTGCAGGCGGAAAAGAGTTTCAACGTGTACCTGACAACACCAGAAGCGTCAAACCAGAGAGCTGACGCAAAAGGAGTATTTTCCCAGATATGTATGGCAGAGCTCCCAGGTCCAGAAGGAGAAGGAACCTTGACTATTGACAGCAACCATGTAGTCTTACCCTCCAGCCACGCGAAGACACCAAAGAGAGGCCGCACACAGTTCTTCTAATTGGGTAGCATGAATCTATTCACTTGAGCGGTGGCCAATAAAATACCCACGGTACTAATCAAACAGATCGATACTTTTCATTCTTGGGGATGGAGGTAAGGGAAAAGTGAGAGAGGCCTTCACCTTGTTTATCTTTGCCCAATCCTCAGAACAAGTAAAGAGATGGGGGTGGTGGAAGCCTTTTACTCCCTGCCACAGAGGCGACATGTACCTTATAATGGAATTTGCAGTAAATTGCCTCTCCACCCGCATTAACCAGCTTGAAAGTGTGTGATCCATATCCATTCATGTGCCTGTATCCATCTGGAATCCCTCGATCACTGTACAAGAAGGAAACCTAGGGAACAGGAAAAGGAAGCCTAAAGTTCTTCAGTTTAAATCAAAACATCCATGATTTTTAAGACACTCCAAGTCTCCAAAAATCCCTTAATTACATGTAACATACTACCCAAGTACCCTCAAGAAAAATTACTATTATTATCATTTATTAAAGAAAAAGAAAAAGAAAAATTGTAAAGCACAATGATAGATAAATCATTAACCTCATGGCTCAAAATTCTATAAAGAAAAACTAAAAACTACTTTCCCCACATTTCACTAATACAAAGAGTTTTACTTCATACTAGAGACTTTAATCCTTAATATTGCTAACTATTAATTGATAATGTTTCTAGCATCACTCGAAGTGCATGAATGGGGGAAGATGAACAAAATCATCATTATAATACTCTTCAAAATCTGAGGAAGTCTCCCAAAAAGAAAGTCAAAAATCAATTCCAATGAAACAGCCAAAACTGGAGAAACACACTGTGAGGCATAATTATAGTTCCATACCAGGTGATATAATAGATTGGAAAAGAAGCATTCCCACCTGATGCAGAGATTCAGGACGCAGGCTCAAGAAGTCCCAGACCATGTCTGCATCCCTCAGATGCGTTTGAGGGTTTCTCTTTTGGCTATGAATAAAGGATGGAAACTAAATGGAAAAAGAGAGAAAAAACTAAAAACCTAGGTTTACAGAAATTATGGTGTCTTATGTTATACACAATGCTTATTGCTAGGTTATGTTATACATTGTGTATAATAGAAGACACCATAATTATAGCGTTCACCATAATTACGAACACTATCATCCTAGAATTTTAAACTGCCAAACCCTACCATTAAATTTACCCACTACCAGTTTCTAGGGCAAATGACTCTTTTTATTAATTTTCCATGCTCTGAAAGGAAAACTGAACTGTTCTCATTAAGTCAGTGAATCCCGAAACACCAAATCTAAGACCAATGGCAATAACTGTTGTTATTGGAGCTTATGAAAAGATATTAAATACAGAGAAATGTGTTTAAAGAGGCAATCCAGTCAACCGAAATTTTCTTCTCTCTGCCTTTCCCAAGGCTTTCCCTTAAATGCCAATCTATACAGAGTATTTGAAATCAATTTAAATCCACAGACATTTGGAGAGTGCACAATACTTTATCACCTACCAACATGGCATCCCTGATGAAGAAAATGGGGGTGTTATTTCCAACAAGATCCCAGTTACCATCCTCTGTGTAAAATTTCACTGCAAACCCGCGAGGGTCACGAACGGTATCAGCTGAGCCTGATTCTCCAGCTAAAAGATTCATATGGGAAAAACGTAGCATCAGCCAGAGTATTTTGCATCCAAGAAGGCTAAAGTCAAAAAGAAACATTTTGCTCTACCGTTTCCAATCCATTTCGTAGAAGTAAATTAGGTATTTAAGTGTCTGGGTTATTATTTCTACCACCCATCAGCTAAGTTGGTCTACAAATTAAACAAAAGAATTAATTGAGAGTAATAAGAGAGTACAGGCATACCTCGTATGATTGTGCTTTGCTTTATTGTGTTTCACAGATATGTTTTTTACAAATTGAGGGCAAGACTCAATTTATGGTGGTAGTCTGGAACAGAACCTGCTATACCTCTGAGGTATGCCTCTATGTGTAATAACAACTGAAAAGATTATCCATTTAACATGATAAGGTAGTTTTGTTCAAATAGGTAACTAAAATTTAAATTAAAATAAGAGAATAATTTTGAAGGTTAAGGTAGTGAACAAAGAGACATGAGTTGTCAAAATTATGAAGTTAGTATTAAGAAAATGAGTTAAAATATAGGTTCTTATTCTTAATTTCATTTATGTTTGCATTCCATAGTATTTTAAAACTGCACAAATACAGAATAAAAAAGAAACAGAATCACAACATTGTGGTGTGTTGAGATGTAGTGTGACAGATCTAACTCTTACTAGCTCTGCAACATGAGAAAAGTTGCTTAACCTCTCGAAATAATCCCAACTAGCAAAGTAAATCTAAAGATTAGATTATAGCTAATGTCTATAAAGCACGTAACCATGGATGGCATAGAGTTATTCTCAATAAAGGACAGCTATGATCGTGGTTATTGAACAAGATCCCTACTCCACACTTCCACCGAGGCCATTAATAGCAAGGTTCTTTCCCATTTCTGCAGAATTGCAGAGGCGGCCTCTGCATAAGTGTGATTTCCTAAGATCTCAACAAACAGAATTATCAGTAACTTCCTACATGTTTCAAAATATTTTTTCTATTGTAAAACCTGGCTGTAATTTGGAAAAGTGCTTGTTTTCTCTCTTCTAATAAGAATTTTTTCAATTAAGTTATAAATGCCCCAAATAAGGTTAAGCAATACCAGTCCTGCAAACAGACCGACTCACCAACAGTGGAGAATCTAACTGCAATGGGGGTCTTCTTTCCAATGTGCTCAAACACCTTTGCCTTGGAGTATCTGGTAATGTTGTGCGTGACCTCAAAGTAGCCAAAAGCCCCTGACAAGAAAGACATAGAAATCCTCATCATAAGACCATCACTCAGACCATAGGACCCTCAACAGGCAACTGGGTGACAGGAGAAACTGATAGCTTCGCATTGACCTTCTGAGAGCTTCCAATGTGATGGGGGAAGGGGAAACATCCAAACACAAAATGATGAGATAAAAGGCAAGGCCCTATTATCATTCCATGCTAAACTGAGTGCTGCACAGCTAGAGCCAAGAGGAGGAAGAGATGATGGGGCTGGAAGTAATTAGCCAAGGCTGACCCAGTGACACAGGGCCCGAGAGGGCCTTGAAGTACAGGTAGGACTTAGGAGAGAAAAAGAACAGGGAGGAGAGAAGAAAACACAGAGAAAGAAAGAATAAACACTTAGGAAGGACACCACAGAACCCAACAACAAACTGAACAACATATCAAAGTCATCGTGGAAAAACCATGTGGAACAAGCTGGAGCATATGGAAGAAGAGAAAATTTAAAAATTAGGAAGTCCTAACTGGGAGTCCAAGTGAGCAGCTAAGAGAAAAACTTTTTCTTCCTTTCTATCAAGCTTTATTTTTCCTGAGTTTTTAGCTTTCCTTTAAATACCGCATCCCCTCCCCCCCCCCGCCACACCCGCCTCCATCTTTTATTTCTGTAATAAAAGATGAAAGTTTTACAAAAGTTTTGGACAAAAAGGAAAAAATCACCACAAACCCGCCACCCTGACACAAGTATCCTCAATTTTGTACAGTTCATTCCAGTATTTACCCAATTAATGCACTATCTAAATCCACTTATAGTAACAGTATGTCTGTGTCTACGTATCCTTATTTTTCTTTCGCTAAACCGCATAATGGAAGGGAAAGAAGATTACATCTATTTTTATCAAAATAAAGAATTTTATCTATAATGTTTAATCCAGTGAAATATCATCATTTAATTACTAACTTCTCTTTTGATTACTAATTCCTCTTTTACATTTTTTCCTTCCTTTCAGGAATGGAGATTTGGCATTTCTATTAAAAGTGCTCCAACCCTCTGAGAAATCATTTTTAACTCAGGTGTTATAAAATGAACCTTTTACAAATAAAAAGGACATAGCTCTCACCTGCTCCTTTAGCATGCACGACCCTCTCAGGAATTCTCTCCCGGTCAAAATGAGCCATTTCATCAGTGAAAATCACATCCTGAACGACGAGGGGCCCCCGGGGGCCTGCTGTCATAATATTAAGTTTGTCTCCTATTGGATTACCAGCCCCGGTGGTGAGGACATCAGGACTCTAGGTGAACGTGAAAGGAAAAAGAATGCAGGAGAGTCAGTACCAAAAAAAAAAAAAAAAAGTTAATTTACATTGTCGTAGTTACATGGTTTTGCAATTTTTATACCTTCTCCCCAAACTCTTTTTAAATTTCCTATAATTTCCAAATAATTTTTGACAAAAGAGCCAAAAACATACAGTGGAGCAAGGAAAGCCTCTTCAATAAATGGTGCTGGGGAAAACTGGAAAGACACCTGCAAAAGAATGAAACTAGACTATTGTCTATCACCACACACCAAAATTAACTCAGAATGGATAAAGGACCTGCATATAAGACCTGAAACAATAAAATGCATAGAAGAAGACATAGGAACTAAACTCAAGGACCTTGGACTTAAAGAGGATTTTATGAATTTGACCTCAAAGGCAAGAGAAGTAAAAGCAAAAATAAATGAATGAGACTAAATCAAACTAAAAAGTTTCTGCTCGGCAAAAGAAATCATCAAAAGGTAAAGAGACAATCATCCGAATGGGAAAATATATTTGCAAGCAATGTCTCCAATAAGGGCCTAATATCCAAACTATACAAAGAACTCATATGACTCAATAACAACAAAAAAAACCAAATGATCCAATCAAAAAATGGGCAGACGACCTGAACGGACACTTCTCCCTAGAGGATACAAACGGCCAACAAATATATGAAAAGATACTCAACATCGCTAGCCATTAGGGAAATGCAAATCGAAACCACAATGAGATACTATCTCACACCTGTTAGAATAGCTATAATTAACAGGACAAGTAATAACAAATGCTGGAGAGGATGCGGAGAAAAAGGAACCCTCATACACTGTGGTGGGACTGCAAATTGGTACAGCCGCTATGGGAAAACAGTACGGAGTTTCCTCAAAAAACTAAGAATTGATCTACCCTATTATCCAGCAATCCCTCTACTGGATATTTAGCCCAAAGACTTGAAAACCCATATCCGAAAAGATAGCAGCATTATTCACGGTGGCCAGGACATGGAAGCACCCAAAGTGTCCTACAGTAGATGATTGGATAAAAAAGCTGTGCTACATATATACAATGGAATATTACTCAGCCATAAGAAGAGATGAAATACTGCCATTTGCGACAACATGGATAGACCTTGAGATAATCATGCTAAGCGAAATAAGCCGGATAGAAAAAGTTGAAAACCACATATCACTTATATGTGGGATATAAACCTAAAAACAACAAACAAACAGGACAAACAAACAGAGACTCGTGGACATGCACAATAGACTAGTGGTTACCAGAGAGTAGGGGGCTGGGGGAAGAGGGAGGTAGAAGGAGTAAAAGAGATCAAATATGTGGTGACAGAAAGAAATCTGACTATGGGTAGTGAACACACATGCAATATATATATGCCTTACTGTTGAATTGTACACCTGAAACTTACTGGATTTCGTTAACCAATGTCACCATCATAAATATAAATAAATAAACAAACAAACAAATAATATTCCTGTGTCCAAAGTACTGAAATACAAGATATGCCATGGTCTGAAATTTATAGTCAGGTTTCAGAAGTCCTTCATAAATCTCAACACCAATCTGCTAAGAAATCTGCTTTGAAGAACAGAAAGATGAATAAATAACCTGTCAACCTGCTGGGCTCCTGCTCTAGATAACGAACACCAGGCTCCACACAGGACACTCCCAGACAGGATCCCCAAAAATGAATCATATGTGTTTAACACTGAATGTCCAAACTAACAGTGAGATGGTCTCAGGAGAATCTATGCTAGTTAATGCTTTACTCAGAATTCACAAATGCTTTATTACTGCCACAGATATTAATGTGGGTTCTCTCAAGCAATATCTCTTTTCAATTAAAAAAAAGTCAATGACTTTTATAGTATTAGATTTCTAAAGATCTTAAATGTTTTTGAAATGGTATACATTATTTTACTGTAATAAAGAATTAGTTTCAATCCACTCAATTCTCCAATTTCAGTTACATGAGAAGCCTCTCACTGTCCCTTCTCTAGGGTGGTGGCAGTGTTCTTTAAGCTCCTCATGATCCTGGGCAGCTCTTCTTAGCTTCGTCTTATTCCATGGTCATATACTCTGCGTTTGACCACAGACAATTGACTCTCCAATGTCTTCGCCTGGGAAATCAGGGGAGATGGGTGGGTGAAGCAAAGCTAAGCACTTCCATCTTGGGAGAACAACGCAAAAACGTCTTCTGATGAAAAAGTCAAGAGTACCCACTTCACATACCCAGAAAAGCACTATGCTCAGAAGTTCCACAAACCTGGAGTGGAGTCTGTAACTTTGACTCTCCAACCACATTTGTCCTGAATATTAAACAAACTCAAGACCTGCCTCTTCTTCAGAAGGACATATTGGGGGAGGGGATCACTTAAAAAAACTATGAAAGTACCATGAGCTCTTTGGGAAAATGTACTGAATAAAAAAGACCTTGGAACTTGCAGAATTAATAAACGAGATTCACACACACTATTAAATCCCCCTTAAGTTAGAAATGGCGCATTGAACACCTCTTCTAATCCCCTGCTCTAAGAGATCAATTGTCCTCATTTTTAGCAGCCTTCCTCACACAAGCTAACGTGTATGCAATTTGCATTCAAAACACCTGGAGCAGGAAAAGCTTCTGCGGGTCAGCAGCACGGAAGGCAGGCCCGTGAGAAAAGATCCCTGACTTCAGGAGATGCTTAGGGCAACCTTAGATAAGACAAACTGACCTCAGAGCTAAAGATGAGAGTATTTATTAGAAGGTGTGAAGAAGGATGCAGTCTATTCGTTGAGATGAAAAGAATCAATGCAATGAATGAGTGCTGAAAAGAGGCTACTGGGCTTGGAAACCTGGGGGTCTCTCGTGACTATGCCGGATAGTTTTAAAGGTAAATAAAATAACGAGAGCCAGACAGAGCAATGATAACAGTGTAACTTGCTTGTGATTACATCAGTTGGGGGCATCTGAGGTCCTATGATAATAAAGACGTTTTAAAATTTTTCTTTGACTTTAAATCGGGGACAGGTTAGATTTGCGTGGGGGGTTAAGGAATAAACAGGAGGGAAAGAAGCAGAGGTTATGAATACAGTCTCTCTCCAGAATGTTGCTGATAAAAGTTGAGGAGGAGCGGAAGCGCCTCAGAAAGAAGGCGGCGAGCATCCTGTGCTCTAATTCTCAGGTCAGTTCCATGGAGTAAGCACCGTCATCAACGCCAATGTAACTACAGTTTGTTTTTGTTTAGGTCAAATGTCCAAAACCATTCTGCACTCTCAAGTGGAAGCAGTGAAAAATAGTCCTCCACAGCTATGAGCAATGACGAAAATATCCAGGAAAGGAAAGACTTGGCAGATGATACCTGATTAAATGAATATAGTCAGATGAAGCTACTCCCTGCAGAAGCTGAGAGGGCAGAGGTGACAGGAGGGAAAGAAAGGAGAGAAAGAGGAAAATGGAAAGTACACAAATGGCACAGGCAGCAACCACCTGACCAAGAGATGAGAGCGACAGGATAGCAGACTTCAGACAGAGGCTGGGAGTTAAATGGCTGGAGAGAAAAGTAAGTCAGAGTTTGTCTGCACGTCAAGGACACAAAAAGCCAGCTGTAATGCACCAGGGCCACATTAGAAGTTCAACGATCCCAAGGTGACCCCTCTGTAGGTTGGATGGTGCAGCATTTAGAACAAGGGGACCTTCAGGTGCACTCATTTCGACCCTCATTTATTCACCCGGCATGGTCCCTGTCCTCCCCGTCCCCATGGACACATAGCCTGGCAAGAGGCATCCCTATGTTCTGTACACACAATGGTTCAGGTCTGCAGTCTTGGAGGAGGGAAGGCAGAGGGCTCCTGCAAGACAGTGAGTGCTGTCAAACGAAAACATGGTCATGCCCCGTAGCTTACATCCTTTGTTTTTTATAAGCAACAGACAAAAGAAACATCTCACGATGCCAGCTTTGAGCTTTCTCTAGTGATATGATGGGGGGCGGAGGAGCATGCCTATTTCTGGTCCAAAGCTAACCAAAAAGACAGACAGAATCAATGCATTTGATAGAACTGTATATAATTTCTAATTTCCCTTTGTAACTACCATTTCTGGAGTACCTGCCATGTACGAGGCTTTATCCTAGCTACCTTTACACAAGTTATCTCACTGAAGCTTCCCAATAATCCAGTGAGATAAATGTTATTATTGTCATTTAATGGGTGATGCTATATGCTCAGATAATTTAAGTAACTTGAAGAGTGCCCCACCTTCTCTCAAAAAGGAGCACTCGTACCTATTAACATGTTTACATCTTCCTGGCAGCTAGTTATCCGGAACATCCATATAAGCTTCTCTTAAACTTTTCTCCTGCCCTGAACCTTCAAGCTGGGCCAAGGGCATCTTTTTGTGCCCCACAGAACAAAATATTATAATTGTCTGTTTTCTCTCTAGACAGCATACGCCTTTTACATCTCTATCCCTAACACCTGACAGTTATCAACAAGTGCACAACAAAAGCTTGTAGATCCAACAAGTGATAAATTACACTTTGGATCGATTTGAAATGGCCAAGAAAGATTATTTCGAAGCACGAAGAAGTAGAAGCAGCCTATTTCCTCTCCCCGCATCACCCCTCCAAAACACAAAAGGGAAATATTTTAACTTACAACTTTAAATTCTGATCAAACACCTAAGAAAAAATTGTTATAAAAACTGCTGTGGAAGTTGGTACTTTGGTTTGGCTAAAAACTGGCACCACGTTTAGAAGTAGAGACTCAGAGTTAAATTCCATTTTGGCTTTGCTGTTTGTTTGTTTTTTTGGGCCGGAGTTAAGGCATGAATATAGACATCTTCCTGGTAGGACTAAGATTGACTTTATCTGGCGAAACATTTTATCAATATAGTTTCCACTGATTAGTGCCCCCTGCTCACAGAAGTTCCAAGAACTTACTAAACATTATTTTTTGTTTTTAAATTGATAAAGAATGGTACCGCCAAACCCTAACTTTGAATCCAAAAGGAGTCATAATGATAGCTTCGCATTCCAGTTCTCCAATTTTTAAGGGATCAGAGGCCACTAATTAAGCCTAAGTATCCCAAAGGAAGAGCACATGGCATTCTAAGCAGTGAGCAACAAAGTTCCCACTTAAGTTCCAACCAGAGTGACTGGGAATAGCTGGAGAAGCACCCTCCTTCCTGAATGTACTCTGAGAGAAAGAAATAAAGATCTTTAAGAAGATCCAAGTCATACCTACAAACATATTTGATTCAGTGCTCGCCCATCAAAGTTTACAAAGCTCCCAGCTCATTTGGTCAGCAACAGAATCTGAGCACAAGGAGAGATGCCCAATAAACTGCTTACTCATAGAGCAACACTCTGGTTCCAAAGGTGGATACACCCAGCTTGGCATTCTGCATCTGGGTCTTACGGGAAGAGGACACGATGTGGTGCCCTCTGACAGTAGTTCCAAAACTGAAAGCTCTCACAGTCCAGTAAAAGTAAAAATAACTTGGGAAGTGAGAGGGAGGATACTGAAACACAGCTGCCCATCTATATAAAAGCATTTCTCAAACAGGGGAGTTTTTAAAAAAAATACTATCCATTACTATCAAAATTTTCTAACAGAAAGAATATTTTAATGTGAGAAAGTTCAAAGAAAACAGCTTTTAAAAATAGACTATGTCTGTTTGCTATTCACATCACAAGACAATAGCTGGATAGATTTTCAACAAACTTGGAATGTATGGTTTGAATAATGTAGTAGGGTCAGCTACCTGGACACAGAGGTAGATTACATTTCCCAGCTTCCCTCATGGTTAGGTGTGGCCATGTGACAAAGTGACAAAGTTCTAGCCTATGGAATATAAGTAGAAGTGATCTACACCGCTTCAAGCCTGGGCCCCAAACCTTCCACACACACTCCTCCATGCTCTTAACCTTCTGTGGCTAACAGTGATGCCCACAGCAACCTTAAAAGCCATGTGTTAACAAGGGGACAGCCTCCTTCAGCCCAGAGACCCCAATAACTGTGGGAAGCAGAGTATCATTCACTCTCCCTTTTCAACCTCAAACCACTTTGGTTCATTATGTAACAGAGAAATAAATTTCTAATATGTTTATACCATTATACATTTTGAGATCTATTTTTATTATAGATCTATTATTATAGATCTCAAAATGTATAATGGTATAAACATATTAGTACTAAACAACCCACACACGATTTAACTTAAAATATGGGCTATGAATTAATAATAAAAAGAAAACCCAATGTTTTAAAGAACAGAAGATCTGAACAGATACTTCCAAGGAACATATACCAATAATCAATAAGTACGTAAAAAGATGCTCAGTACTACTGATCATCAGAGCAATGAAAATTAAAACTGCAACAAGACATCACTTCACACCCACCAGAACAGCTAAAATTAAAAGACTGACAACACTAAAAGCTGACAGAATGTGGAGCAACTGGAACTCTCAGACATCGATGATGGAAATATGAAGTGGTACAACCACTTTAGGGAAAGGCTTAGCAGGTCCTCGTAAAACATTCACATACCCTATGACTCAGTATTTCTATTCCTGCATATTTCTTAAGAGAAATAAAAGCATATGTGCACAAAAAGACCTGTGTAAGAGTTTTTCATAGCAGCTTTATTCATAATAGCCAAACACTGGAAATACCCTCGGTGTCCAGTAACAAGATAAACAAATGGTGGGATAGTCATACAATGGAACACCACTCAGTCATTAAAAAAAAAACAACTGTTGATACATGCAACATTAATGAATCTTAAAACAAAACATTTTTGCCAAATGAAAGAAGCATTACACAAAAAAGTACATAAATCAATGGTTAAAAAGGAAAATCAACACTGGTTGCCTGGGGCAGGACTACAGGGATTGCCGGAAATGACTGGGAAAATACATGAGGGAACCTTCCAGGGTGGTGATAATCTTCAATATCTCAGTAAGGGAATAGGATTCACAGGTGTATATATCATGGAATGGTCTGCTTAATATTTCTAAAGTTCACTGTATATAAGTATTACCTTAAAAACATGAACATTAAACTCTGTCCATTTTCATGCTTAGTGTTTAGGGGTAAAGTCTGATGTCTACAACTTACTCTGAAATGCATGCCCCAAAATGGGTTAATGGGGGTATGAAGGAATGATAGACAGATGGAATACATGTAATAAAAGATATATAGCAAAATGTTAACTGTAGAATCTAGATGGTGGATATATGGGTATACACTGCACAATGCTTTCAACTTTTCTGGATGTTTGAAATTTTTCAAAATAAAGCATTGGAATTTATATGGGCTTTGTGACACATGCAAAATTCCTTTTGGAGGGTCTGGGTGTGGTGGGGAGATCGTCTCAAAGAAATAAGATGTTTTCACTCAGAGCAGCTAAAAGTGAGGAATAACAAGACATTGAGGGGACTGCCAATCAGGACAATGTCCACGGTGCATTATGATGCCAGAGGCAGAGGAGACAGCAATTTCAACTATAAGTCCCCCCAGTTGTGGATGTGTTTTGTGGGGCAGCTATTTCTCATGGACAACCATGTAGGGTAAATCACCAGCAGGGTCTTATTCTCCTAAATGATGAAGAGGCAAGCTAGTCTCAAAATAAAGAAGAGTCCTTGAAAAATGAATAAATATTGTTTTATGGAAAAACTCACTACATTGTCCATATTTTTCTCAATTCACCAAGTATTCATGAAAAGTTCTGTGTGAACTAGGATTTAGCAACCACTGGGTATGGAAAGAGTTCTGGCTTCAAGAGCTGAATTCTAATCTTGACTCTTCCACTAATTAGCTGGATGTCTTTGATCGACAAGACTCTGAGGTCTCTCTGGTTCGCTTTAAGAACTCATGAAAAACTGAGCTACCTTAGTGGCATAGAATAAAGGGTAGGATGAGAAGAGAGATTTTCTAGGCCCTTAGAAGAGAAAGGCAGCCTTCTCACCTTCAGGGAACTATAAAGCCATCTGAGAGCACTTAGCATTAATACCTCATTTCATAAAGACAGAGCACTAGGCATTGAGAAAAAGCATGACTCTAGTCCTCCCTCTGCCATTAACCAGCCATCATGGGAACTGAGCAAGTCCCTCAGACTCTCTGGGTCAATTTGATAAGATGACCCAGACCCTATGGGCTCTCATCTAATTCTACCTCCTCAAAGACACCCTTTAAGACTCTGCGCTTCTGGATGCAGGCCAGGAATGTCTCCTACACCACCACTGTGCTGGACTTCTACTCATCTTTAAAGCTCTTGTTCAGATGTCACCTGCTTTGGGAAGCCTGTCAGTCATTCCCTTTACAGATAATCTATGTAAGAGCCCTAACTACAATAAATGGTAATCAACTGTTTATCTGTCTTGTGTGTCCCAGGCTCAATTTTGAGCCTCTCGAAATCCTAGTTCTGGCCTCACTGAAATTTGTACACGCCCCCTCCCCCACAGCACAGTGCCTAGCACATGTAGGCACTCAAAGAATAGGTGTGAATAAACACATTAATTAATCCCCAATGTCGCTTCTAGCGCTAAAATGTTAGGCATGATTTTTTTTTAGTGCAAATAATGATATAAAAATTCTTTTATTTAGTCGTTTAATGCTGTGCGTACTAGTTATCAGTCACCGTGATAAGTGCTAGGCATATCGAGATGATAAGACACGGTCCGTAACCCCATGGCACTCCTCAAATATGAACGCTTGTAGTTATCGTTGAGCAAGTCCATAACAGAGCCTGTCCCCACTTCCCCCTCACTTCCTTTCTTGCAGCTGCAGCTCTCTGCCTCTTTCTCCACTGACTTCTCAAACTGCTACCTTTGTCCCAGCTGGCAAAAGTGCGAATACGGAGCCAAGCAGCCGCGCCCTGCACGCGCCACAGCCTGCACCAACCAACCACTCACCAATCCTGCAGGCCCGCTGCCCCACGCCACAGAACCCTCTCCCCTCATCCCCGCGAATGTAACTCCATCTGAAACGAAAAGCAGCTCCCCAACTCCATCCCCCCGCCCCTGATCAGGGGTACAGCCCCAGGAACTTCGCTGCGCTGGGGAAGCCAAGGCTGTTTACTCGCCGACGCCCAGCTTTCGGAGAGCGCAGAGTGTACCTGCGCCGCCCGCTGCTCCTTCCAAATCTTCATCTGGTCACTGGCTGGATCCCGTTTTTCTGCCATGGTGTCCGACTGGCGTAGCAGAACGTTACAAGCAGCCTCGGATCACGCGTCTACACCTTCAGCAGGTCTACGGCGTTTACAGCCCGGGCGCTGAACTGGGCGACCTCAAATGCCAACAAGCTCCGCCCCTCGTCCCGCGCGCTTGGGAGGACCGCCTCCTGATTAACCGTTCGAGCTCTAGGCAGGATGGGATCAAAGCCAAATAAGGACCGGGGTGAACCCGTGAGGAGCAGAGGGGTGAAGAGCAGAGGGGTGAGGAGCAGGGGCTCCAAGAGGGAGACGGTACCCGAGGATGGGGACGGACTGGAGAGCGTTGTGGAAAGGAGGGGAGCTACGCCCCTCCGACTTCCAAACTCCGGAATTAATGAACCCAGGAGCTGGCCTTACAAACAGGGACTGGACTCACCCCCGGTTATCAGAATCTTTCAAGCTGCCCCGGGACGCGGGCGTTCGAGGCCTGCCAGTTTTGCTGAGGGAAGATTAGGCCCTCCTGGGTGGAGCTTTGAACTCTGGAAATAGGCTCTCAGCTCTTCAACAGTCAGAAATCCTGAGCTGAATTCCTCTGTGCAAAGTGAGCTTTTAACATACCCTAATGTTACTATTATTTGCAACTAAAAGATTGATGGGAATTTGGATTAAATGCCAATACTGATTCTGCAAGTAAGGCTTACCCAGTAATCTTACTCTCTTATATTATGTTATTTCCTCTTTAGCACAGACTATATGTATAGAAAAACGTGCCTTTTAAAAAAAACAAAAATGAAACATTGACAAGTCTTTAATGGTCTTAATCGTCTAAAATTCATAGCAAGAAAGCTCAGCCTTTTAGGTTTCCGTTTTGATTAGCAGTTCCCCTTTTTACAGTGTCTACTATGTACTAGATGCTGCTAGATGTTTACCAGACTATGTTATTTACCTTCACAACAATCTTGCCATGAAAACTTTGTTACTCTCCATTTTAAATGTGAAGAATCTGATGCTTAAGAGAGGTGGAGAAACTCATCTGAAGCTTAAAAGTTAGCGAAATGTCCGAGCCTAGATCCTTGGTCTCCCGATTTCAAAACCTGGACCCTGAACCACTATGTAATCTTGCCTTTCCAAGAATAAGAATTTTGAAAATTCTCCTTAAAGAGCCATGTTGAAAAGTGAAATATTAATAAGGCATTGACTGGCTTGTCATTATAATCAAATGGATTCAATGATTTCCCCCCGTCTCAGGTGCTAAGAATTCTCTTCAAACACCTTGGTATATAACTATACCAGCATCTTCAAATGAAAAGTTTTCAACTTTTAAGTTTGATTTTTTTTTTCAATCAAACTACATATAATGGCTTGATATATAATAGGGGAAATTTCAAATGTTCTTAATTTTACAAAGGTGCGATATCGAGAATCTGTCATAAAAGCTTAACTTTCGCAGTTCATGGAAAAGCAGCTCACAGATTGATCTTTAGTGCCCTTTGTTTTTCCTTCATTACACTTAACACAATTGTAAAGATATTAATAGGTGTGTAATTTGTGTGATGTCTTTCCCCCACGCAACCCAGCCACACTGCCAGTAGCGTGTAAGCTCCATGAGAGCAGGGGCTTTTGAGTTCCTCTCTGTTGTAGTCCTGCACATCTAGAATTGGTTGATTGCTTCCTCTGTGCCAGGGACTGTTCTAAGCTTTTTGTGTGAATTTGCTCAATTAATCCTCCCAATAACTCTAAGATTTAGGTACTAATATTATCCTCATTTTACAGATCAGGAAACTGAGGCACAGAAAGATTAAATAAATAACTTGTCCAAGGTTACACGATTATTAAGGGATAGAGCCAGAATTCTAGCCCTGTTCAGTGATCTTCAGAGCCCATGGTTTGTTGAATAAATGTGGAAAGAATCAAACTAATCATTTTCTTCATTAACTAAGATAAATATCAACAAAGTAAATTTTAAAAAAGACCTGGAGTCATGTGTTAATCTTTGTTCTTTATATAATATTGTCCTGTGTTTTGTTTTGTTCTGTTTCCATCAATGTTGATTTGGATTCCTAAGGAATTATTTTCAGTGAAAGAGAAATGGAGAAGCAAGGCACTTCCAGATCATGTCATATCTTGTTTGTTAAAATAAGATGTGTGCTTATGTAAATAACGACAATGAATTTATATTGGCTGCCTAGGTAGCATTCTATTCATTGGCTTTATGACTATAATTTGCAAAGAGTTTAAGTGAAAACACTTCTAAAAATCAACCCTAGTTTTAAAATACATTAAACCAATCTGTTTGATCACTAAAAATAATTCCAAACGATTGGTTCAGTAAACAGATTTGGCCACAGATTTTTATATTTTATTAATATAAACACATGATTATTTTTGTTGGTATTGAATAAAATCGTTATTTAGAAAATGCTGTTCTCTGTTCAGAATCCAACGAAATACAATGTACTGACACAAAAGATGATGTTATTAATTTTGATATCACCAAATCTAAAACCAAACTTTTAAGATAATAGGATGAATATTCCCTGGGAAACATGTCCATTAAAAGACTCGATTGCCACCAGGCAGGAGGATCCATTGACCTGTATCATCATTTATATGAAACTCCTTGTTCAGGATATGTAGATATAAACAGATTTAATTCTAAGACATTGTGAAGCAAAATTCTCCTTCTGGTGTCAAGTGTCAAAAGCAATTGTTTCATGCAATTTGAAAACAAAGGTCTATTTACTTTCTTAAAATAGAAAATCTTGATACAATGTACAACATATGCATTATATGTTTATTTAGTCTAGCTTTCTGCCAGCAGTTGTTCAAAAATTTGCCCCATTTATCCCTCCTAGCCCTTCATTTTTGTCCCTTACCATATCTTCCTCTTATTCTACTTGGTAAGGCCTAGCTTAATTCTCTGGAAACTTGCACTGGGATCACATTTTTCCCATTCCCCTCCCACCCGATATTCTAAATACCAATGAATAACCATCACTGTTACCTTCCTCCTCCCTGAATTATAGATGGCTCACTAGTAGAACTTGTCAAGGGCCCAGATCTTTCACTGAATGCTCTTTTAATCTCTGCCTCCTCAAATTACAGAAGTCACATTGCCTTGCCTGTGGGACTGTACTTTACCATGTCACCTTCTCAGGAAGGCCTTTCCTGACACCGCATTTCACATTAAAGCCTCCTCCAGCATTCTCAATCATACCATCCCGGCTTTACATTTTCCCCATGGCACTCTTACCTTGTAATATACTGTATAACCAACTTAACTTGAATGTGTTGTGTATCTTCCCCCACTTAAATAGAAGCTCCAAGAGGATAGGTGGATTTGGGGTTTTGTTTTTTTCTCTTTATCCTCAGCACCTGGAAATTTTCTGACACTCAGTAGGTGTTCCACCAACATTTGACTAAAGGTGTGAACAAGCACATGTATGTGTGTGTGCGTGTGTGTGTATATATATATATTTAAAAGAGAACTCTTAAATATGAGAAAGCTTTCACATCCTAAAGGAATGTATATTTTAAAATGAAACAGAGGATATAATGTATCTGAACAAAAGATCTTATTAAATCCCTTAAGGCAAACCGCCACCTACTCCACCACCTACTTGTTTTGTGACATAGTTTATCCTGGTGTTAGTTCACCCACTGATTTGCTTGTTCACACCTTTAGTCAAATTTTCTGGTTTTGATCATTGTACTGTGGTTATGTAGGGAATGTTTTTTCTTAGAAAATATATATTGAAGTATTTAGTCATAAAGAGGCATGATGTCTATAACATATTCTCAAATGGTTCAGAAAAATGTATACATATACACATACAAATAAAGAAAGCAAGCAAATGATAAAACAAGGAAAAGTATAAACTATTGGAGCTTGGTTAAGGGTAAACCATTGGGTTATTTGTATTATTTTTTTAACTTTATACGCTTTTAGTATATCGAAGTAAAAATTTACCACAAAATGTAAATACATTCCCAGTAGAGGTCATGTAAACATTTTCTCAGGCAACATCTTAATTATAAGTCATTTGGTAGCTGGCTGAGACCCAGAATGGAGCCCAGTGTAGGCCACATGTGGTGGTGATGTAGCAGCAAAGAACAAAGACAAGCAAGCTGAGGGAGAAGCAGAAGTCACCGAATTCAAACTTCATCTATGTCACAATTTTGCTCTAGGTCTAGCAATTTTTTCTTTTCTTTTTTTGTAGAAACAATTTAGGACTCACAAATACGGCAGTTAAAAAGTAAAAAGATATAAACAATCAGGCTACACAGAGAAATACCCATATGACTTTATTAATTCTCATATATATTATGAAATATAATGTATTAATACTTATAAAACTCTCAGGTCATCTGACAAAAACGACTGTTGGCTTATCTTATATTTTTATCCTGAGATAAGGAATTATTTGACAGTGGATATTTGTTTCTGAGTTTTTCATTAGTGTATAATTAGTTGATATTAGTTTAGTAAATATCACTATTATCTTCAAATTAGGCACTGATTTTATGGCCACCTTTGGTGGTGTTAGAAATACCACTTATCTTGCTTCAGGATCACGCTGTTAGGTTTAGAGATTATTATGTATATTGTTCTGTTGACAGATCCCTTACCAGTCTTGATGTCTGAAGCTAATTAAGTGTGAGAAAAGCATTCTACTTACAACACACATTCCTTAAACAGTCTGAGTTTCTGACATCCAAGTGCCTATAGTAAAAAATCAATCATAAAGTAAACTTTGAGCAAAGGAAAGTATCGTGATGTTGGAAAGCAGCTGAGGGAGCGGAAGCACATAGTGAATAAAAGGTGCCAAAGATACCCCTCATACCACAATGAACCCCACAGGAATATCACAGTTGGGAAAACGATTCAACAGTGGCTAACCCAGGCTGTATAGACAGGGCGTTCAACAGAAACCATGGACAGAAGCATTGCATTAGGCTAGGGCCAGGAGAGGTGTGCGATTTGTACCAGAAAAGTACATCCTGCCACTTACATATTTTAAACAAATGTTATTATTCTTTGCCACTCCCAGGCATACCAATGTGAAAGCCCTATGCCCTAAGATGGAAAAAAAAAAAAAAACAAACAACTATTTGTAACTGTCAGAACTATTAT